TATACATTGAAATAAATAAGATGTTTTGATGGGGTTGTTTTTACACCACCCATATATTTCCTAATTAACATAGCTACATTGTACATTATGTAAGAATAGCGTAATTGTGTTATTTTGTATGAAATAACGGGAACTCATCTTACTTCCTCTATTGTTTCCCTCCCTAAACTGGTTTGTACATACTTAGACCTATATAAGGAGTTATCTATCTATGTTAGTCAATTAGCAGAGTGGTCGGAACATAGACAGAAGACTCGTTACAGCGCATATCACTTGAACGGACACTTGTCGTTATCTCGCCCCTGTGCTAGAGTGTACGGGCGTCTAAAGTAGGCATTAACGGCCTCTCCTCTAGGGAGAGAAATGTCCCACGTTTTAACAAATTGCTGCTAATGAAAGAAGTTATACAATACGATAAAAAAGTATATCAGCCCTTGTTAAAAAATTCGATTGACGACGTCTAATTAGGTGTTATATGTTTGTATGTAAAATAAATGAAAGATAAAAATACATTTGGGTAGTTGGCAGGTTTCTTTAAAAGTATATATATTTATATAAAGTGACTGATATATCCACTGTTTATGATAGAGCTTCAAGCGATGATGCGCCAGTCCATTTGAGTCATAGCAAGTGGGCTTGTTCTTTTTCACAGTGAATACGGCGTTTTGATTGGTCTATTAAATAAGAAAAAAAACCCCGTTATTTTCATACTAGAATAATTATTCATTCTGTTTTCACACCAAAATATGATATTTCAACTGTTTCGTAATTATCCAAATATTTGTTTAATATTGGGAAAGTAAGTAAGTAAAACATTAAGTTATTTGAATAGGATTATTGAAAACATCAATTCACTCCAAAGCAAAAACAGATTGATCTTTTTCTTTCTAACACACGGTTCTTTTCATTTGGAAAATCATATTAGCAGACCTTTTACATTTATAATTTGAACTACAGCTGTATATAAGTCCCGAAGAGAGCACCATATTTCCGTTAAAGCCGATTTGCAGGTACCGAGAATCAAGGATAGTTCATATACGACCAGTACATACATGTATGTAGTTATAGGAAAGCGATCACAATCATCTCCATGTTATATCGCAAGGACAAACCTCCAAGGGACAGGAAGGACAATGGGGACAGTAACGATATCATTCACCAATTGTAAGTGTAATTGTTTCTTTATGGCAAACGATAGCATTTGGTTATTGGAAGAGGATCTCAGTTGTTTCCATGTTATATCTCAGGGAGTCATGATCAGTCCCCGGGGATAAGGTCGTACCCCAAGCCGGTCCTAATAGCATGAGTTTGTCCGTCTCTAAATGCCTTACAATCGCAGATATGGTATCAAACTTTTACTTTATTCACACATAATGTACTTATAAGACATATCGCAACGTTTCAAGACCAACTGGTCTCTTGTTCAAGCTGTGACTAAGTGAGGGATTTGTGTTAGTTACCTGATAAGTACCCATGGAATGCAGCCCCAAACTTTGGTAACGGTATATATGTAGGCGACATTCTAGAAATAGTAAAAACGCAGCATTGTATTGCCTAACAGATCACACGAACTGAGTGGACAAAACAAAATTCATTTATTTACCCACGAGAAGGAAATGGACGGGTCCATACCATTGTTGGACACGCTCATCGTCCGCAAAGAAAACGGCACCATACAACTATTAATTATCGCAAACCGACACATGCCGATCAGTCTTTTGCCTTTAATTCACACCATCCACTACCACACTACACCAAAAGCTTGGTTCCGTACACTCCTTCATATGTGCAGCAACATCATCACAGAACAGGCCGATACAAGCACATAAAATACGCACTCAACTGCTGTGTATACCCCGACTGATCAATTAACAAAGTTTAAAAAGCGGTAAAAGAAAAGACAGATCATAAAAAAAACACAGTCTGATGAAAAGAGATGAGTGCTGGGTCAAAATTCCCTACGTGAAGAGGACGTCTGAGGCGTTTGCCCGGGTGACGAGGAAACACCAGTTCAGCATCCCGATGAGACCATTGACACCACCCAGACAGTGACTTTTACACTCCAAAGACAAGAATGATATTCTAGAAAAACAGGATTTGTATGCAAAATTCCGTAGGAAAACTGGGAGGGAATTTGGTGCAAGACTTAAAGAACACTAAAAGGATGTAGAAAAAGGGAACAACACCAATTCTATCAGAAATATATGCAAAAAAGTACCATAAATATGATCGCATTCAATGTAAGTTAAGAATTGTGACATGGCTTAAACTCACCAATCCTATGGACCAGATGAGTATACAGCATAAAGCAATGTAGAGACATGGGCCCGTATTCATGAAACCGTTCACATGCTCAAACTCAGATTTTGTGCTAAAGCCAATTTCTCGATGCGCTGATAAATCTACACTATTTCACATTTTGAAAATGATATGGAAGAATTACCGGAGAGATTTGAAGAAGAATATCATTTTCAGAATTTACACCTGACCATTTTATCATGTCATTTGATTTGAGCGAGTTACAAGAAAGTTGGTTTGAATACAAAATCCATGCTTGAGCATGAAAATGGTTTCATGAATACGGGCCCTGAATTACTTTTGAGATATTTGAGTTTCGTGCATGTTCCTTTTCTATAACTGAGAAATAAGATAAAAAACTTTTAGTTAATCAGCCGTTTCCTCCATATTGCGAAAATTTGAATCCCCGTGATATGCGTTTTTTCTCTCTCGTAATTTCCTGATTATGGAGAACAGAACAAGTAGACCGGAAGTGAATTTTGAATTCTGTGAAATACCCTTTCTTGTGCGAGCATTTTTTTTTCTTTTACGTTAATAAGAGTTGTATGCTTGTCCTTTTCCATTCATTGCAAGCAAAACAAAATGCCAAAACGACAGTTTTATACATTGATCTGTATCACCCTACCAATGTACCCCATGTGGTGATTTGTTTTCTCTCGGCGGTCTGACGTAGTTGTGAAGCCTGTAACGGTTGACATTGATGTACAAAATCTTCGTATTTTATCTGTGTTTCTTTGACGTCAATCTTTGTATATATGGATGCTTGTCTCGTTGGCCGCCATCTTCCCGTTGCCAAGGTCAGAGTTACATAGATTAGGTTATAGTTATATATAAGGTGCACCCGATTAATAGTTATTACTTCAATAGAGTATATCTATCTTTTCCATCACATTGTGCAAGCGAATCTCAAACAAAAAAACTCGCACTGAAACATGTCTCCAATATATATATCGAAACCGGAACTGTTTGTCTTTGGTATGCAAATCCGATCTAGCTGTCAAAGATGAAAATGTATTTTTGTGTGTTTCCGGTAAACACTGGCTGTCGGAAAGGCCCGAGTGACGTGGTTTCCTTCAGCAAAACAGATACAAATGATATCAAGTTATGAAATTGACATCTGCCATATTTGCTATCCCCTGGAAGACAGAAGTAGGAACAAACTGTTAACTTCCGCTGGTGTTGTAAATTATTTATTCGCTGCCACGGCATTTGATTTTTAAGTTGTGACTATTTTGTTACTTCCGTCGTTGTTTGATGTTCATTTATGAAGCATGTCTGTCAGACCGTTGTTTTTCAGATAGCAAAGGTTACAGCAAAAGATATTTAGAATAACGACTTTCTTTATTAATGAATCTGAGAAAGTTTCAATAATCTAGAAAAAGGTCTTTGTTTTTTTTATCATAAAATATGGAATACAGTTTCTTACACCAAATAAACGGAAGTTGCCCTCCTGTCGGCATATCTGTGAGAAATTAACATTGCTCCTCGAAAATTGTATAGCTGATGAAAAGTTTGTGAATCGCTTTTGCCACTTCCTCCTATATTTGAACAAAATATTTGTTTGAGGACTTTGCAAAAGATTCTGTTCACAAACAAAACATACTAATGGTATCGGATAGAGTATGATGCTTCAGTTAACATATGATACATCTAAAAATGTTCCGAACGAACGCAGCGCAGCGCGTGAGAGCAACCTGCAATTAGCACCAAGCTGCCAAGGTCATGTTATATATGGTATCGTAGGTATACCTTGATCTAGTCAGAAACAGTTATCAGAGTTACAATTATAGTTAACGCTCTCTGGCTATTCACCTGGTTCATTCATTTATAGCGTGTCGTATTTCGACCTTATAGCAAAATGAGTAAGTCACTGTAACCCGGTAGCATATTGATATGTGTTTATCACGATGTACTAATGTGTTCGCGGAAAACGCTTGAAACGTTTCATTCTAATACACAATTATGATTAATTAATGGTGTGTATACCGCCATATCACGTGTAATTCCGTTGACCTTGAAATTTCGTTTTATCTGATGGCAACTCATTACCGGTGTTAACGAACAGATACTGGCTTACTTGTGCTTTATTTACGGTCTCTTGGAAACTGACATGTGTGACGCGGCCTCGAGGTGTACGAATATTGACCCATATACCTCACATCACTCAAATTCATTCATAACAGACAAAAAAGGAACCAAAATTATACGTTTTTATCACACAATAAAACAAAGACGGAACTACACTTTGCCTCAGTTTTGTATCGTGTGGAAGGGGAGATGTTTTATACATATGTCATTAAAAGGCTTTGGAACCTACCAATCCATGGTCAGTGCAATTTTCTCTGATCACAATTAATGCTAAGTTGTATATTATCTTCCAATCCATTTTCATCTTCATTCCGTTTCATAATAGCATCGTCTAATCGAAGGCGTGCCAAGTAAGAATCATTATGTAGGCATTTGATGATGAGCCCNCTTGAATATCAAATTGGAATGATTAGCTATCGAAATTAATAAATAGGATTATCATGAAATATGTGTACACACATTTAGGAAATGTACACAAGAAACGTCTACAGTGCCGTGAAATGTGACACCCGAAATTTGCGTAGTTGTTCTACAATCCTATGTATTACCTTTGTTAATGATATGCAACCATTATGATATTTCGCATGACTTAATTTGTTGTCTTTCTTCCCCAGACAACATCTGTGTCGGTCTCAGTCCTCACACTGAGTGCTATATCGGTGGAGAGGTACTTCGCCATTTGTCAACCTCTCAAGGTCCGGCTAACCACCAGGACGATTATCAAGATCATTGTGGCGATATGGATAGCAGGAATGGCGGCGTCTGTACCGGAAGTACTATTCAATAGGCTATGGGAATCAGTTCCGGGTCAGGTCACGAAATACCTTGTTCACTGTAGAAAGGACTGGTCGCTTGTCTACGACAACAATTACCAGTTATTTATTCTGGTGGCGCTCTACTCCATTCCTATATGTCTCATGGCCTTCACGTATTCCGTGATTTCCCGCCAATTATGGAAGAACGATATTCCTGGAACAGCCGAAACTAGTAAGTAGCATTTGTTTCCACCTTCACCACCATATTTGTATTTCAGTCTACGGATATTGCTTTCAGACCGTTCGACTGTTAGGCAACCTTTTACGGATAATTGCGAATGATCAGAAATATGATTAGACCCCTTAAACGGTTAATTAGGTCTCGAAGATCGTCGAGACATTGGAAAACAATTTAGCGTTTCGTTAACGTGTGAGCTGACTTTGATTACAGGACTCGATCAACAATTAACACTTTATTATTATCCCCGCAAGAGTTCAACTCTCTGAAGTGAAATTCAAGTGTTCTTTCATTATTAAGAATTTAACAGGCTTCATATGTAACAAAGCTTGATACTTCTAAAAGCTTTGTGTCACAATTATTTTACTGAAGTTACACGACGTTCAACATGATCCGATCATGTCAAAAAATACTTCATTTTGTATATCACAGTTATAATAGACCGACTGTATATAGGTTACAGAATTTTGTAATTTCGATTTTATTCTGCTATAATGGTCTTAAATGATCACTAATCAGATATTGTAATTTACACTTTCCGAGGATAAAGCAGGAGAGGAAATACCAAGAGTAAAGTTTAGGCAAAGTAATACCAAAGGACAAGCCACGGTTTGATGGACATACGAACATTCTCTGATTCTCATTCCCCGTCTCAGTCCTATCCTCTACTCAGTCCTATCCTCTACTCAAGTCACCAATATGGTCCTTTTCCATTCCCCTCCTTCTCTTTAAACCCATTCATCACTTTCTGAGAACCTCTCGAACCCATTGTCCCCATGACGACCCTCCTATTGACAAATCCCCAACCCCTCTGACCTATAAAAGTATTTCACCTTATTATTCCGATAGCCCTCTCGAAAATGTTCTTTCTGAAAAACACCCTTCAACCCATCTCTGCAACTCCGTTGCATCTCGCTCTGCCTCAACATCCATTTTCCCAGCCTTCTCTACAAATCTATTTAATTCCTTCATCGAACTGACCTCACCCCTCACCTCTTTCCCTCTTTGAAACTCTTTACGGTTTTGCTAAAGTCTTTGGTATCTTCATTTGAAGACGTCCTAAAATTCCACCTTTAGACTTAAATCTTCAGCCACACTAAGTGTATTTTACTTCCAAATAAAATGCAAGTAATAATATTACATTAGACATGGAGTCCTTTGCCACTAATTAAAGGGTAGATAAAATGTATACGCTCTTTGATGATGAGGTCACTTTTAAAGACTTTTGATTTCGAACGGTTCAATGTCCAAGAGTTTTTTCTAATGGAGTCTACATATATTTATGATCAAGTTTAGAACATTACCTCTGAAATGCTGGCTATGTCTGACAACTCACAGGCTATGTTTGGACACTGAGTAGGTGTATTGGAATTCTTATAACATGACGCTGTCTTAAAAGCTTCTAGACGACGGCCGAAACAGTTCCTGTATTTACTATCAGTAGATCTCTTAATTGATTTGACAATAAATCAATAATGTGTACCGCGGCAATCATATATTGATCTGTTTTAAAAAGTGGGACAAATCTGTACCGTTACAGTTGTTAATAATAATACGTATTATATTCATATCAATCCCTATCCAAGCTCTTTCCCACAAATACTTAATTATTGTTACTTAATAAGCAAAGCTGAAGTAAACAAGCACCAGAATAACGTGTTTTGGAGTTAAACTGTATCCGGCAAATGCAAAAACATGGAAATAAATTTCCGGAAAATTCCAAAAATAAATACGTTTACGTGTTTGGTCGTTATATATCACTTAAGAAAATGGAAAATGTCAAAATGGCATGACTTGCGTTCAAAAAGTAGTGAAGGCTAGGATTTCGAAAGATTTGTTAACACATGGAAACCAGCATCTGCCAAATAATATTTATTTTGTTTGGATTTTTTTTCAATTTTAAAACCTACACATTTTCCACATTTTTGCGTGTTTTTTTTCTATAATTCTGAATTTTATATCAGTGGGTTGTAGCTGAAGTGTTATATTTGTACTACATTGTACATTAAGTAAAAACTAAATAAAAAATAAAATAGATAAAAGGAGTTGTTGTTAGATCAAAACCGTTTTGACATTTAGCACGTAGAAGATTAATACTTCACATTTTCATATCAGTCTGTCGTATTACGAATAGTTAGAAACCAACTCACTCCTGAAAATAATTATCCGAGAACTCTTACGTCAGAAGTAGCGTGTGCAATACCCATGGTTTGTTTTGACGTAGGAGTTTGAGAGATTATCAGTTTAAGTCTCCATTTAGCAGCGTTTACATTTAATCTAGTTAATTATCAATGCAGCCTATCCTTTGACTTGTTTTCTGTGGCTCACATTTGTCAGGTCTGCCGGAAAACATGTTCGGTTTGAAAATGTATGCACGTCACGCTCATAATGAATTTGTTTTATTCAGATACTTTAAACGCATTAGATTGACTGGTGTAGTGTTGAGAGGTCATTAAACCAATCACGTCATGGGATTGAGAATCATTAACGTTAACATTGTCTGGCGTTGTTGTCCTCGCCACTGGTAGATCTTACATTAACGTTAGCATTGTCTGTCGTTGTTGTCCTCGCCACTGGTAGATCTTACATTAACGTTAACATTGTCTGGTGTTGTTGTCCTCGCCACTGGTAGATCTTACATTAACGTTAGCATTGTCTGGCGTTGTTGTCCTCGCCACTGGTAGATCTTACATTAACGTTAGCATTGTCTGGCGTTGTTGTCCTCGCCACTGGTAGATCTTACATTAACGTTAGCATTGTCTGGCGTTGTTGTCCTCGCCACTGGTAGATCTTACATTAACGTTAACATTGTCTGGCGTTGTTGTCCTCGCCACTGGTAGATCTTACATTAACGTTAGCATTGTCTGGCGTTGTTGTCCTCGCCACTGGTAGATCTTACATTAACGTTAACATTGTCTGGCGTTGTTGTCCTCGCCACTGGTAGATCTTACATTAACGTTAGCATTGTCTGGCGTTGTTGTCCTCGCCACTGGTAGATCTTACATTAACGTTAGCATTGTCTGGCGTTGTTGTCCTCGCCACTGGTAGATCTTACATTAACGTTAGCATTGTCTGGCGTTGTTGTCCTCGCCACTGGTAGATCTTACATTAACGTTAGCATTGTCTGGCGTTGTTGTCCTCGCCACTGGTAGATCTTACATTAACGTTAACATTGTCTGGCGTTGTTGTCCTCGCCACTGGTAGATCTTACATTAACGTTAGCATTGTCTGGCGTTGTTGTCCTCGCCACTGGTAGATCTTACATTAACGTTAACATTGTCTGGCGTTGTTGTCCTCGCCACTGGTAGATCTTACATTAACGTTAGCATTGTCTGGCGTTGTTGTCCTCGCCACTGGTAGATCTTACATTAACGTTAGCATTGTCTGGCGTTGTTGTCCTCGCCACTGGTAGATCTTACATTAACGTTAGCATTGTCTGGCGTTGTTGTCCTCGCCACTGGTAGATCTTACATTAACGTTAGCATTGTCTGGCGTTGTTGTCCTCGCCACTGGTAGATCTTACATTAACGTTAACATTGTCTGGCGTTGTTGTCCTCGCCACTGGTAGATCTTACATTAACGTTAGCATTGTCTGGCGTTGTTGTCCTCGCCACTGGTAGATCTTACATTAACGTTAGCATTGTCTGGCGTTGTTGTCCTCGCCACTGGTAGATCTTACATTAACGTTAGCATTGTCTGGCGTTGTTGTCCTCGCCACTGGTAGATCTTACATTAACGTTAGCATTGTCTGGCGTTGTTGTCCTCGCCACTGGTAGATCTTACATTAACGTTAACATTGTCTGGCGTTGTTGTCCTCGCCACTGGTAGATCTTACATTAACGTTAGCATTGTCTGGCGTTGTTGTCCTCGCCACTGGTAGATCTTACATTAACGTTAGCATTGTCTGGCGTTGTTGTCCTCGCCACTGGTAGATCTTACATTAACGTTAGCATTGTCTGGCGTTGTTGTCCTCGCCACTGGTAGATCTTACATTAACGTTAGCATTGTCTGGCGTTGTTGTCCTCGCCACTGGTAGATCTTACATTAACGTTAACATTGTCTGGCGTTGTTGTCCTCGCCACTGGTAGATCTTACATTAACGTTAGCATTGTCTGGCGTTGTTGTCCTCGCCACTGGTAGATCTTACATTAACGTTAGCATTGTCTGGCGTTGTTGTCCTCGCCACTGGTAGATCTTACATTAACGTTAGCATTGTCTGGCGTTGTTGTCCTCGCCACTGGTAGATCTTACATTAACGTTAGCATTGTCTGGCGTTGTTGTCCTCGCCACTGGTAGATCTTACATTAACGTTAGCATTGTCTGGCGTTGTTGTCCTCGCCACTGGTAGATCTTACATTAACGTTAGCATTGTCTGGCGTTGTTGTCCTCGCCACTGGTAGATCTTACATTAACGTTAGCATTGTCTGGCGTTGTTGTCCTCGCCACTGGTAGATCTTACATTAACGTTAGCATTGTCTGGCGTTGTTGTCCTCGCCACTGGTAGATCTTACATTAACGTTAGCATTGTCTGGCGTTGTTGTCCTCGCCACTGGTAGATCTTACATTAACGTTAGTATTGTCTAGCGTTGTTGTCCTCGCCACTGGTAGATCTTACATTAACGTTAACATTGTCTGGCGTTGTTGTCCTCGCCACTGGTAGATCTTACATTAACGTTAGCATTGTCTGGCGTTGTTGTCCTCGCCACTGGTAGATCTTACATTAACGTTAGCATTGTCTGGCGTTGTTGTCCTCGCCACTGGTAGATCTTACATTAACGTTAGCATTGTCTGGCGTTGTTGTCCTCGCCACTGGTAGATCTTACATTAACGTTAGCATTGTCTGGCGTTGTTGTCCTCGCCACTGGTAGATCTTACATTAACGTTAGCATTGTCTGGCGTTGTTGTCCTCGCCACTGGTAGATCTTACATTAACGTTAGCATTGTCTGGCGTTGTTGTCCTCGCCACTGGTAGATCTTACATTAACGTTAGCATT